GACAGAGGGTAATTTTAAACACTCTTCTGCTCCCCAGTTTCTAGTTTGTTCAAATTCTGCCTTTTGTTACTATGTGCCTTGTCAAACTAAGATATTTAATGGCATATCTATTAGTAGTGAATTAGACATGTCAAAAGTAAAATTATTTGAAGAACGTTGACTGTGACGTGTCTTTCGAATACTATTCACAAAGACCGCATTGCTTCATTTAATTACCAAGTACACATAAATCTGATTTTGAGCAAGTCTCAGTAACCTATGCCTGGCTTCTCTCTGGTGCTAGTGACTACCCTTCAGCAGCGCCTCCTGCAGCCGGACTTCCAGCCAGTCTGTGCTTCCCAGCTCTATCCTCGCCACAAGCACCTTCTAATAAAACGGTCCCTACGCTGCCGGGTAAGTGCCCCACCTGATCGGCACCAAAATGTCTAGGATGTGGTATCAGTAGTAAACAAAGAATATATGGGGAGTGTGGCACTATTTGAAATACTTTTCAATATATTAATAATCCTCACTGTTCTGTGACATAGGAATTGTTTTATTATTATGGTAAAATTATAACAAAACACTGCTCTTTCACACATTTCACAAGTACAATTCAGTGATAGTCCTCACATTGACCGTGCTGTGTAGCCGTCACCACGATCCATGTCCAGCTTGTGTCGTCACCCTGAGCAGAATACGGTGCCCTTGTGCAGTGACACTGGTCAGCTCTGGTTTCCACATACTGGCTGTTCCACATACCCATATTCAGTGGGATCACCTCCTAGTTGTCCTTTTGTGCTGACTCCATTTCAGCCTGTTTGTAGTTTCATCTATGTCATGGCATGTGCTGGACTATGAAGCAGGTATTATTGTTTCCCGAGTTTACAGACTTGAGAACTGAAACATCTCAAGATGAAGTAGTTTACCCAAACGTGTAGTGCTAACCACTAAAAGAAGAGTGAAAGAATGGATAGCTTTTAGGCTATTCAGGGGGAAGTTAAAAGGAATGATGTTTTTTAAAACCTTAATGAGCCTCAAATAAACACATGTAAAAGAAATCTTTGGATCAGTAACGCCCAATAGAACATGCTGTGATCATGGAACTGTTCTAGATTTGCACTGTCCAGCATAGGCGGCAACTTGTCACTTGTGACTTGTGCAGTTAAAATACTGAACCTTTAATTTTCTTTAATTGTAATGTTGCTACATGTGGCTAGTGGCTACTGTATAATAAAGCTCTAGATGAAAAGATAGGCAGGCATATCAACCAAATAATGTCAAGGGAATAAGGAAAAATTAATGAACTCTTTGGGGAAATTTGCACACTGGTTGGATTTATTATTCTAAAGAATTAATGGGTTTGTGTGTGATGATAATGGTGTTCGTATTATCGGTCTTAAAGATAGACATCAGATAGGGATGGAGTGACGATGTCCGGGAATTGTTTCATAATCATCAGATGGAGAGTACAAGAGGTCACAAGACTGGCATGAGTTGCTAGCTGTTGAAGCTGGGTACTTATAATACTGTTGTCTTTGTAAGAAATATGTCTATTTACACTTACTTAAAAGAAGCAAATGCTTTCAAAAGATGAAAAAATCCTACATTAAGAAAACAAGTGAATTACAGCAATTTATATGCTGATTACAGGCAACACAAACAAAATTCAGAAAGGTTGAAAGTAAAACTTGGTGGGGAAAGATGTATAAATACTAATTAAGAGAGAATTCATAAAAGAATCGCTATGACAATTCTAAATTTTACTTATTCCTAATAACATGGATTCAAAATTTGACACAGATTAAAGCAAAAAATGTTTAGATTGCATAGTGAAATAGACAAATTATTGTGGGAAAATTTAACATACTTCTATCTGTTACTGAGAGAACAAACAGACAAAGCTCAATAAGGATCTAGGACAGTTGAATTAGCAGACGTGACCTAATGGGTATATATAGGCATAGCCTCTTGTCAACATCTGCAAAATACACATTTTCAAACACAGACCATGTATGAAAATTCACCATACTCTGGAATACAAAGCAAATTGCACCAGTTTTCAAACACTGAAACTGTTCATATTTGATCATGATACAACTAAGTTGGAAGTAACGAATTCCTGAGATGTCAACTAAGTGGAAGAAGCACACCAGCATCAGTGATTGACGGATTGGAATCCATATCATCCGAAGTTGAAGGAGGGATCACTATCAGAGCCTGAATTGTGAGAATCTGATGTGCAGAAGGCGGTGGATGACAGTGGGAGCCCAAGATTTGTTTGTGGAACTATTTAGGAAACAAGCCTCCAGAGAACTCCCCCAGTCGAAAATTGAGGGATGGGAGGAAATGGTCACTAAACAGAGTGCTTGGTGTTTCAGTTTGTGAAATCTAGGATCGATGGCCCTATAGGGACAGCAAGTAGAATAAGGGGTCTTAGTGGGGGGGTGTACAGTGGTGGAGGTGTGGGGTAAGAGGAAAATGATATCAAGGAATCTATGTAGAAAAACACTGCTTAGAAACTGCTTGTGATGGCAGTTGTACATTCTACTTGACATAATTGAAATTGGTAATGATATGATATATGTATTAAATTCCAACTAATAAAATTTGAAGTTACTAATTCCTAAATAATAAAACTATAGGATGCAACTAAGACCATGCTTAGATGTATATATTAAGAAAATAAGGTGGGAAAATAAATAGATAAATAAATAAATAAAAAGAAAATAAGGAAGATTAAAAGATTGTAAAGACTTCATTTCAAAAAGTTAGGGAGAAAACAACAAAATTAAGTCCAAAGAAACAAAAAAGTAGATATTCACGAATTAAGAAACCAGTATAAAATAGAGAAAATCAGCAAATCCAAAAGTTTCTTTCCCCCCACATTAATATTACTATATAATTAAATTAATACAAACTTGTGTAAATATGTATGCCAGTTATATAATGCACTAATATTTCCCAAAATTAAATAAGCACTTTTTGATCCATCAACTTCACTTTTATTGTCTCTGAGGGCACACCTCTACCAATACAAAGCAAAAATGCAGACATTGTAGTATTTCTGTACAATGAAGACTGAATCTATTTAAAAGGGTGTGCTAATTTTTTAGCTTTAAAAGTTAGAATAATGTTGAATGGTAAATGTCAGAACTCCATTCAGGTGGCGAAAGTAACAAAGTTACTGAAGAAATTTTATTTTGGAATTTCTTCAGGTGATGGTGATATTAGGCTATGTAGAATAAAGACCCTTATTTTGTAGGGCATTCAGGCTTCAGTAATTAAGCGTATTACGATGTGTGCAGCTGTTAGATAAGCACATACATAGGTGGAGTAAAGTGTGCTGGTGCTAGCAGGAGGGTCAGCAGTGTGAGTGCACCAGCCACCAGGAGGAGGAGGAGGAGGGGGAGGTGGTCTGCTGTTGTAGAGCTGTCCCGCCTCAGAAACCCCTGGGAGCGAGTTCTCTGTCCTTCCTGCAGGGGTTGCCATGAGGCTTCACCGCTGGATTGGCTGAGAGCAGGATGTTGCCAGCTGCTGGCTAGGTGATGGGATTTGTTGTACCAGTCTTCTGGAAATCTTCATGAGACACTGGGGGCAAGGGGGACGCTGAAATAAGTGCCTGACTGTTGCATTGATGAACAAGACAATTACTCTGTAGGATCTTAAAGAGTATGAAAAGAAACAGAAGGAAGGAGAAAATTAAAATAACAAAAATTAATGAAACAGCAATTAACAAAGTTAGATTTTGAAAAAAAGGTTTATAAAAATCATAATATTTTAGTTAGAGGGGAAAATGTTTAAATTATCAATTCCAGGAATGAAAAAGAGGATTTTGTGACAAAATATAAATAAGATATTGCATACATCTTTATTGTAACAAAGTAGGAAACTTAGATGAAAGAGAAAAAAATCTGAAGAAAATAAAAATTAGTAGAAAACAAGTTTTAAAATCTGAATAGCACTATTAATATTAAATAACCTTAATTATAATTATGTTCCCCAAAGAAAACTCCAGCTCCCCATGGCTTCACTGGTAAACTCCCAAACATAAAGAACTGTTATACAAGCTCTTAGAAGAAGGGGAAATATCCCCTACCTTTTTTTTATGAGGACATGCTAATTTTGATACAAAAATTCTAACATGGGCATTATATGATCCCATCAATAAATCCATCTGATAGAATGTTGTGAAGTATTTGGTAAAGTTGTGTCTTGTACTCATAGACTATTAGACAGACTAAAAGAAAAAACCAAACTCACTGCTACCGAGTTAATTCTGACTCATAGTGAATTTCTGATACTTTAACTCTTTACCAGAGTAGAAAGCCTCATTGTTTTCCCATAGAGCAGCTGGTGGTTTCAAACTGCTAACCTTGAAGTTAGCAGTTCAACATGTAACCACTACAGTACCAGGGCTTCTATTTGGAATAGACTGGAATCAACTTACATGAAGAAGAATTCCGCATCGGTGTTGGAGGAAGGCACATTAACAACCTGCCACATGTAGATGCCACAGCCTTGCTTGCTGAAAGCGAGGAAGGCTAAAGCACTTGTTGATGAAGATAACGATGTCAGCCTTCAATATGGATGACAACTCAGTGTAAGGAAGACCAAAATCTTCACACCTGGAACATCATGATAAATGGAGAAAAGATTGAGTTGTCAAGGATTTCAATTTGCCTGTATCCACAACCATTGCTCATGGAAGTAGCAATCAGGAGATCAAAAGACACATTGCTTTGGGCAAATCTGCTGCACAAGACCTCTTTAAATTGTTAAAAAGCAAGGATGTTACATTGAGGACTAAGGTACACCTGACCCAAGCCATGATGTTTTCAGTCACTGAAGTAAAATCGATGTGTGCAACTATGGTGGTGGTGAGAGTATTAGAAGCACCGTGGGCGGCCAGAAGAACAAGCAGACCTGTCTTGGAAGAAGTCCAGCCAGAATGCTCCAGAGAGGCAAGCATGGCGAGACTTCGTCTCAGGTACCTTGGACATGTCTGAAGAGAAGGAAAGTGGAGGTGCAGCAAAAAAGAAGGCCCTTGCAAGATATGGCAAAATAATAATTTATAAATTATCAAGGGTTCAAGAAGGAGGGGGGAGCGGGGAAGGAAGGGAATAAATGAGGAGCTAATGCCAGGGGCTTAGGTGGAAAGCAAATGTTCTGAGCATGACGAGGGCAATGCTTGTACAAATGTGCTTTACACAGTTGATGTATGTATGGATTGTGATAAGAGTATGAGCTCCTAATAAAACTATATTTAAAAAATTAAAATTAAAAAAAAGGGCCCTAGATGAGATGGATTGACGTAGTGGCTGCAACCGTGGACTCCGACATAGTGAGGATGGTGTAGGCCCAAACGTGTGTGCTTCCATCCTACATAGGCTCGCTGTGATAGGCATGGCGTGAAGGGATGTAACAACAGAGGCAGCAGAAACAGGCCTGGGCGTGTGAGGAAACTTAATGTTTCCTGAAAAAGACATTGCAAGTAAGTCAGGAAAGAATAGGCTGTTGAGTTCTGCTAGATCAAATGATGATGGGGAAAACGTCAAACAGGGTCCCTACTCACTCCCTACCCAAAACATCAATCTCAGGAAGGCTGAAGACGAAAAGCAACATTTCTGAAAGAACAGATGGAAATATAGGAGACTATCTTTCTGTCTTCTGGATAGGGAAGTGTTCTGTTTAAAAAATAAATAAGCACATAAAACTGTACCCCAGCACAAAGAAGATCCATAAATAAGTGAAAAACTGGGTCACAGATTGAGAAAAGTCATTTGTAAGGTATCTGATTAACAAAGGATTATTCTCTGGAATGTGTAAAGATCATGAGCAAATCAGTGAGGGAAAGATCACCCAGTGTAGGTTTCCTCCACTGTCAGAGTTGAGCATCCCTTTGAAATGTTTAGTAAGCCCAAATGGCTTACGGCAGTGGTTCTCAACCTTCCTAATGCCGAGACCCTTTAATACAGTTCCTTATGCTGTGGTGACCCCCAACCATAAAATTATTTTCATTGCTACTTCGTAACTAATTTTGCTACTGTTATGAATCGGGCGACCCCTGTGAAAGGGGCATTCGACCGCCAAAGGGATCCCAACCCACAGGTTGAGAACTGTTGGCTTAAGGCAAAGCAATCAATATGTATGGGAAATTGTTTTTCGTGCCCTGACCCATATTTAGTACAGTGAAGCAATAGACTTTTAATTTTATCCCTTACTGTATGCACAGATGCCCACAGACACAGTTCAAAGCTATGGTAGCATTGTAACTGATGATGCTGAGTAGATTTCCTGGAGAGGGAGCTTGGAGGCGCCACGCTCCCTGCTCAGGAGTACACACTGCCTCTTTAAGGGCTGACTGCAAAACGGACCCGGAACGCTGTTCTACTTTTTACCTTTTTTTTTTCTTCACAAAATAAACATCTCTCTGGATTTCTTTTGGTTAATGAAAACAGGTACTAATGTAGGCCTTTTGTAGACGCGAAATGGTGTAAAGTGAACTCTGGCATAATGGCAGGTACCTGCATAAAATAATTCTCACTGCCATTGGGTCAGTGCGGACTCTTGGCTAACCTATAGTACAGGGTCAGTCTGCCCCTGTGAGCATCTTAAACTGTAAGTGTTATCAGGAGTAGAAAGCCCTGTCTTTCTCCTGCAGGGCAGCTGTTTTCAAACTGCTCACCTTGCAGATTGCAGCCCACCACGTATCCACTAACTAGTAGATAGCTTATACCCCATGGTAGAGGAAATGTCAATGGCCAAAACACATGAAAAGATACCTTCCTTACCTTATATTGTAATTGGGGCAGTGTACAATGAAACTTCAGTAAGGTACCATTCATAATCATAGGTTGACAAAAGTGAGTCTGACAATATCAAAATAAATGCATATGCCCTTAGAGCCACCTCTAGAAAACTATTACACATGAGAAATTATTTGTGTGAGAATATTCATTGCAATAGTGTTTGTAATAGTAAAATAATAAGATTTTACTTATTAAAAATAACTAAAATAAAAATATCTTACTATTAATAGTAATAGTAAAATAATAAGGATACCCTAAATGTACATTTGGTTAAATAAGTTGTGAAATCTTGAGAATGGGATGGGTACCTCTGTGCTGGTACAGAATTAATTCCAGACAGATTAAATGAAACATGCGAAGGCAGACGCTGTGTCCTCAATGCTCCGTGCTGTGTCATTGTCAGGGAAAGCTGGTGTGTGCTTCAGCTCTCGTGTACATTCCTCCTGAGGAACATGCACTGGCTCTAGGGAGAGGGATCCGGGGGAAATTAATGGAAAGTCATTATACGTTACACCTTTTTGTATGATAGAAAAAATATCTAACAAGGTCTATGTAATACTCATTCTAGAAAAGTAAATAGTTGTAACTGTGTTTCTACACATGGGATTTGGAGTCTTTTAACTTTACAGGACTAGAAAACTTCATCTTTCTCCCTTATTGTATGTTAATTATTAACAGCTATTATTTCAATAGTGTTTAAACACCAATAAAGAATACTAATATTTAATAATGTGGTCACACTTAATTTGCAACGCTTCAAACAACATCTTTTGTAAATTTGAGATATCACTTATTCTAAAATGTGTGGTGTGCTTGTTTTCAAACAAGCAGCCATCAAAGAGAGAGACGTCAGCTAAGTTCACGTGGAAGTAGCATACCAGCCTATGTGATCCAAGGATTGTAAGTAATATCAAATGTAAAGGAGGGAATAGTAGCAAAACTTAAACTGTGGACATGTACCTGCAGAAGGCAGTGGATGACAGTGGAAGCCCAAAATCCATGTGCAGGGGCCACACCAGATTACACTTCCACTGAATCCCCTCTGATCATCGTTGAGGAATAGCCCTGTTATCCGACAGAGCATTAGGAAGTTAATTATGGCAGATGTAGTTAGGTTAAATGTATTATCATAGGACCTCCTTTTGACCCATTTTAAAGCTATTTCAGTTTAAAAAACAAAATGAGTGGAAATACATGTAGATTAAGCCCCTGGTGAGTTCCCTCTGATCATAACCCGGGATGTGAGTAGCTTTTCTATCATACAAAATGCATCAGAAAGTGGATTATTGAAGATGCCATTAGATGAAAAATTAGCACCCTATCATTTGATCTCCCTTATCCATTGATATCTGTTCCCTTTTTAAAATCTTTTTCTGCTTTCTTTTCAATTCAGGTTTTTATCTGCTTGCTCTTGTTATTGTTAGTTTTTTGCTGTTGTTGTTTTTCTGTATATGAAATCCAGGATAGGTAAATCTGTAGTGTCAGTAACTTGATTAATGGTTCCTCGGAGAAGAAACCAGGGAATTCCTGAAAATACAGGGAATCCAGGGCGGATGAGCCCTACAGGACCAGTGGTGTGAGTGGCGAAACAGGGAGGGTAAAGGGAGAGTTGGTAGGAAAGAGGGAACCGATTACAAGGAACTATATGTGACCTCCTCCCTGGGGGACAGACAGCCGAAAAGTGGGTGAAGGGAGACGTCGGACAGGGCAAGATATGACAAAATACCAATTTATAAACTATCAAGGGCTTATGAGGGAGGGGGGAGCAGCGAGGGAGGGGAAAAATGAGGACCTAATGTCGGGGGTTTAAGTGGAGAGAAAATGTTTTGAGAATGATGTACAAATGTGCTTTACACAATTGATGTGTGTATGGATTGCGATAACAGTTGTATGAGCCCCTAATAAAATGTTTGAAAAAATAAAAAATTTTTTAAAAAAAGAAAGAAAGACGACCTTCTACTCCCATAAACAGTTACCATCTCAGAGGCCAGACTAGGGGTCACTGTGAGTCAGCCTTGGCTCGATGGCAGTGAGTTCAGGGGAGGAGCATAGTGGAGCATAGGGAGTTAACACCGATGAGGACAAAAAGGAAGGATTGTGGTGGTGATGGTACAATCCTTCTTCGTGTGATTGAACTATTGTTTGATATGTGAAGATAAGCCAGTTAAATTGTTTGGAAAAAGTAAACTGTCCAGTGGTTTGTAGCAGGAAACTTTAGGTAACACTAGTAACTTGCCATTTTGAATTTAGCAGCTCTGAATAAATAAAGGCATTCCTATTATATGTCCTAATACATTTTCTTTCTCATTTTTCAGAAATGTGAACATAATTTGAGCAAGCCAGAATTTAATCCAACATCTATCAAATTCAAAATCCAACTGGTTGCTGTGTGAGTTTGGGGCATTGTTTTACACACCGTTATGCTTGGCTTTTGTTTTTCAGCATGAAACGTGTTTTTACTCTTGGCTTGAAAAAGGAAGAGAACTATGTCAATAATTTTGCTGGTCTTTTCCTGTTTTGAATTTAGCTGCATACATGTAATATATGCATACATATATCAGTCTTACAACAAAATCAACAGTCTTTGTCTCAGGGAGAGGTGGCCAAAGCAGCAGTAGTGTGGTCTAGGGCATTGTTGCCTGTTGATTATTAAATTAGGAATCATCTTTTAAAAGTAAAGTAAAAATAATAAAATGCATAACCCTATATGGTTGTTTGGTTTGCTGTGGTCAGATACACTTTGCAGAGCGGGATAAATGTGATTAACTGTGAACCTACTGGGTTTATCAGTATAAAGGGATTTTGTTTATCAAAATCAGTTGGCTAAAAAAAGAATTTATTTTTTATTAAAAGATCATTTTATTGGGAGCTCTTACAACTCTTATTACAATCCGTACATCAGTTGTATCAGGCATATTTGTACATGTTTCTATACATTTACTTTCCCGACCTGGCAGTTTTCATGTCCCTGGCATACAGAATTCGATACAAAAGGAGAGCAAAGGGTTTCAGCATGGAGACACAGATGAAGAACTCCAAATGGCTGGCAACTGTAGAAAGATGCTAGGGCATAAAAGTTCTGGAACTAGCATTGTGCTAGTAAGGATGTGGGTGGGGTGATTGCATCAATTGTTGGTCGGATGGGGGATTGCCCTTGCCTGCTCTGCAGAGTGTTGTGGAGTTTCAGACCAAATCACATAGGTTTTACCAGCCATCTTTCTCAGGAAGTGGTGTCTAGAAGCAGAAGTGCCAGTATGTAAGGGCGCGTTTACAAAGATGCATGTGGCAACATTTTAGTGGCAACGAGCTGGCAGTCGTTTCTGTGTCAGTCTGCTTGGACATCAGCAGGGATATAATTGGTTAAATTGAGCTGTACTCTAGCTTACTTACAACCCTGTAGGACAGGGTAGAACTGCCCTGTGGGTGTCCGAGACTGACTCTTTACAGCCGTAGGAGGCCTCATCTTATTGGTAGCAGCCCAACTTGTAACTACTCCACCATGGGGGCTCCTGTCCTATATAATAGAAGTGTGATGATAACCTCTATGAGTGTTTTGTTCCAAGTACTAGCCTAAGCACTCTTTGCATGTGTTCCCAATTCTTTAAATAATTTCAAGAGCTAGATAGTATTGTCTTCATGTTGTAGTGAAACAAAGGCACAAAATGCCTTTCCCCCAGATGTGCTGTATAGAAAGGCTAAGCTGGGATTAGAACCTGGGCAGTTTTGAGTCTACAACAATTTAACTACAGTAATCAGCTATCTATTTAGAGAGCCAGCATAGCATGTGGTTCAGAGTAAGGCCTCCAGAGGCACCTGTCCTAGGTTTCAGCCTGGATTCTTCCACTTACCAGCAAGTTACTTTTCTTCTTCTGTATAGTTGGCATAGCAACAATGTCTGTCTCATGAGATTGCAATGGTGATTATGTAAATTGATCTTTGTTACATGCTTTAAACAATGTCTGGCACATAATAAGTGATATGTCAGTGTTCGGTATGTATTATATTCCAAATATAAATAATCATATAATAAATAATAGGAAATATATTACTCAATCAGCCTTACATTTTAAAATCAGTTGCCTATATAGAATTAGAGAAAATGGCTTAATAAAATCTCAAACTAAATTTAGTAGTATGTAAGAAGGTATCTGCCATGACACTTAACCTGCCCTGGCCCTGGAGATGTAGACTCAAAATATACGTAAGATTTGAGAAGAATCCTGGGCACTTTGGTTTTGTGTCGCATCTTAGTGCCTCGTAACACAGTGGTGATATTCTTTAAAATTCTGATTCCATCACCTGCTCTAATTAACATGAAATGTGTTATTTACTAGATAAAAAATAATAATTCAAGGGACTCTGGTCAATATTAATGCATGCTTTTATTTTTGCCCAGCAATTATATCCCAGAAGTGAGGATCATGTCAATTCCCAACCTTCGCTGCACGAAGGTCAGTCAGTACCTTACGTATGAGCATAAAGAATAAAGTATTGGTTG